AATTCCCCGGCTGGCTGGGGAACTCTGGGAGTTGAAGTCCACACAACTTAAGAACTGCTCTAGAGGTACAAAGTGGGCTGTACTAACTGACCACCATTTTTACAGTCTATTATATTTAAATCAGGACCAGACAAGCTGTAAGTCTTGGGCTACCTATGGCCCCCAAGGCTTTTTATATAGGTCTCCACCTCTTCCTCCTCTGCTATTGCTGCCAATTTCTATATGAAAAGCAATGGTTTTAAGACTTCATAAGATAAAGGAAGGTGGATAGGGATAGATGGAAATCAGTGTGAAAAATATAGATGGGATTGAAGACAAATGTGGATTTAACTCTGGAGATGCCCAATTTCTGCCTTGACACCACTCATCTCCCCCTTGCCTTGCCTCTATGTGGCCTGCAACACATTCCTGACTTCAAAAAAGCTTGAACACCCTTGCTTTAAAGAATCTAAAGTTTGCCTGCTAAAGGATGGTTCAACCTACTTAACAATAAAAGTGGCTTCTAAGAGCAGCAGAATTTAGGGGTTACTAGGTTAAAATCACAGAAAACACAGGTAGTTCTCACTTAGCCTCTGCCTCGCTCAGCCACTGTTCGAAGTTACAGTGGTGCTGAAAAAATAATTTTACAAACCAATGCATGCATTCACGACCTTCACAGCATCCCTCAGTTACGTGATCACCATTATAGTCGGCATGCATTGTCCTGTGCCCAAATTGTTCTTGTTTTCCTGTTGCAGAGTGGAGAGATTGAAGAGGAAGGGATTACAAGAGAGTAAGCAGGCACACAGTGAGGAATACACATTGAAAGGAATGCGGTGGCACCAGCAGCCCTGAGTGTGCTACCCAAACAGCCTGGTATATTCCCCATTGTGTGCCTGCTTACTCTCTTGTAATCCCTTCCTCTCCAATGAATGTAAATACAAACATTAATTCCCTTCTTGTTCATTGTCCCAGCGCTAGGATGAGTATTCCAAAGGGTGGAAGAATGAGGAAAAGGAAAACACAGTCATAGTAATGTGATTTCCCACTTAGCGATTGCTTCGCTTAACGACAGAGTTGCTGGTCCCAATTGTGGTCACTAAGTGAGGATTAATGTATGGGGAAAGATTCTCTTTCTTCTGCAGACAGGTAAATAACAGGATTGGACAGTTAGGAATGAATTTAATTTTGTCAGTTGTAACAAAACTCTGATTTACCCTTACACTTTCAGGCACAGTAGTTTGGGATTCAATCAAGGCGAGTGAGATTGCTTAGATCTCACATAGGGGTTCAAGTTTTAATAATCCACATGATTTTTTAATGTTTGATATTAAAGATAAACCACTCTGGGTCAATGGTCTGTTTGATAAAAAGGGGGGAAATTGGCATGTTTAGAATTGATAGTATGGATTGATGTTATTGTTTTATTTTTTTCTTCCCCTTTCTGGTAGACAGATTGTATCCTTGGGGAAACAAATTCCTAGCCAACCGCACAAACCTCTGGCAGGTAGGAGACCAAAACTGGTATTTTTATTTTTACAAAATGAAAAAAGCGGAAGCTAAAAATGATGATGATGATGATGATGGTGGTGGTGATGATGAAGAAAATGACAAAAATGGTTAAAGAGAAAATCAAACCAAGAGAAAACCAAGAATGATTTTTTTAAAAAGGCAGTAATAACCGGGAGAGAGACTGTATGAATGAATTTATATATGGTGTTGAGGATAAATTCAGGGATTTGAAATATCCACATTTAGTACCCAATATGATAGAATTATATTGCTCCTGTATAACATTCATGTGACTTGGTTGCAGTAAAATTGAAACACTGATATTTATTTATTGCTTTTAATCCCCTTAAAAATTCCAAATCCATTGATAACTGTGTTGCAGAAAATGCAATGATATAATCAAATGCAGAAGTAAAATTCCAGTGAAAGCAGACAATCATGGGCCAGTGCAATCCTTCTTAAGAGTAGTGACAATAAGCACTCCCAATCTTTCTTTCTGCTCCATTTGATCCCAATTCAAGGCCATTCCTGTGTAGAGACCAGCGTTTTTCAGACTTGGCAACTTTAAGATGTGTGGATTTCAACTCCCAGAATTCCCTAGCCGGCAGCCTGGCTGG